TTGGTGCCTGAGCTTGGTAGTGGACTGGAAGACCCACAATAAAATGAAGCTGAACGCAGACAGACAAAATTGGAACAATGATCAGGCTTACATCTTGGTCTTGGTATCTCTCTGTGTATGTGTGTGCGTATCTTCCTGGATCTGTTACTGCGATTAGAGGCAGAGGAAGCTTTGATGGCTATGAGCATCTTTTATCAGCTTAGCCTGAATGACTGGCTGTGAGGCTTTGTGGAGACAGATATAACTTGATAAGTTTTCTAAGCCCTAACAACCTTCAAAGATTATTGCATGCTGGTGGTGGGGGTATCTTGGAAAATGGTTCAGGAGCATCAAGTAGTAAAATGAAGCAGGCGATCAAAGGAATCCATGTCTTACAAACAGCAGTGCTAGTTTAACTGCCCTGTTTTTTTATTCACATTTCCGCTATTTTTCCAGAATCTGGCACTCCTAAACCCTATGAAAGTGAGGGCCGACTGTCATTTCTGTAAACAAGGGATGTTGCTAAGTCCAGTGAAGCAGATGAAGTGGCATCCAGCATTTTTTGGGTTTCATGATGACTACCATCTCATGGTCACCCATTCCTAAACTAAGGAATTCCTGTTTTGTTTTGTTATTACCTACAGATACTTAGGTCATCTTCAGGAGCTCTCTGCAAGTTGTTGCTATGGATGATCATTGCATAGTTGGCTTCTAGGAACTTTACTTGGTGTCCACATTGGTATTATCATGGAAAAAGTGGTTAATGGCGATGGAGCTAATGTACCTCACTTGTATGTTTAGTATTTTCATACATATAACTCATGAACAGAGCTGCAATCTTTAATCTGTGCAATCGAGGTGTAATTGTGGAACAGCTCTTGAGTCTGACAAGACAAAAACTATCTGTTTTGAAAGCAGGGCACTGCTGAGGGAGAAGAAAACATCAACCAAGAATCTTTCCCCTGTCCTTGGATGACCTGGAAGATGCAATAGAGGGTGTATGTTGATCAAATTTGCAGGTGACACTAAACTAGGAAAGGGTGGCTTATGCCCAAGAAGGCAGGATCAGAATTCAAAAGAACAGATTGGAGACCTGCCCCAAACAAAATGAAATTCAACAAGGAAAAATATAAGGTACTTCACTTAGGCAATAGAAAAAAATGGAATGGGCAGATATAGGATGGGTGACACCTGGCTTAAAAACAGTACATGTGAAAGAGATGTAGATATCTTAGCAGACCACAGGCTGAATATGAGTCAAGAGTGAGATGGGATAATTTTAAAAAAACCAATATGATTCTAATCTTTGTAAGAGTATAGTGTCTATAGTGAGTAGGGTACATCCTATTGCTTTGGACAGGTTTCACGTGGAATACTTTTCCTTTACCTGTTGGATAAACTTTGATAAAGGTGCTGATTTGAGCATTGCCGAGGAAATGGTTAGTACTTTATTAAATAGTCCTATTTCACTGCATTCAAATTGAATTACTGTAATTTCACACTGAGAGTGTATTCAGAGAAATTCAGGATGTTAGTAAGTTCTCTAGTTCTTTGTCTGACTGACTGGCAATTCTTATTTTGAAATGTTGTTTTTATGCTATCTAACATTTTATTAAGATTCATTCTCTTGTCCTTCAGTCTACTTCATTTATTGTTTATTCAGGATCCATGCTGAAATTTTAAAAAATTAAGCAGAGTAGGTTCATTTTTTGTTATCAATATTCCATCTATTCAGCTGTCTCAAAAGCAAAGGTCTGAATATTAGACAAATGCTCATCAACTCTATTTGTAAATTCTGTACTTAATGGGACTTGCGACAGACCTTGAGAAGCTTATCTTGCACTGCAGCCCAACCTACTTTTCTGCAAAAGAAAAATGTTAATTTATTTAAATAAGATCAAATTCCCCATAAATGTGTTTAAGGTTGCAGGCTTTGCATAAACTACAAAGGAGTTGTGATTTGGAAGTGGCCACATTTTAATCTAGCCGTGCAGCTTTTGCAAAATTTCTTAGCTGCTTTCTTACCCGTGCAGCTTTTGCAAAATTTCTTAGCTGATTTAAAGAAATCTCAAAGAGAATGAAATATGCTCTCGTATTTTTACTTTTGATTATCAAGAATATAATTGTCGGTAATCGAGTGCATTCTTTCATGCCTATGTATACTACCCAAGGAGATTGCAAGTTGAGTGTTAAAAACTGAAAGGATTCCCCTGATCATGTGCTAAGATTTAATAGGTGTGGTTAATAATGAAAGGGAAATCTACACCTGACCCTAATGACTCCCTTTCACTTTTCCAGGGCTGGAAAATCTTTGGCTCTCCATATCTGAAGATGGCTTCCATTATGCTTCATCATGATGGAAGCCATTATGACACAATAAAAGATAGAGAACAACGTTCCCAACGCTCTCTCCATATATCAAAAAGCCAACTAAGACAGGATTTATTCCGTGAGGTGAAAGAAGAGGGCCCTCTCCTCACCCTTCATAACCAACACTACTTCATAGGAGAAAACCATTTACTTTCCTTTGAGGATTCCTCCCTACTGGATTAAAATGCATCTCTCTATCAGTACAAATATAGCATTTTTTCGTTTACATAGAATTGCAGTTAGGTGTAAAATCCAAAGTATGGTTACTTGGAGTAGGCCCCACTGAAGAATTGACAGTAGGGCCAAGCAGACATACACAGACTGAACATGATATAGCAAAGAGTAAGCTAGAAATAGAATGCCACTTTACTTTGACATTTTTCTTTCCTTCCGGATCAATAGACATTACTCCAAGTACTCAAATATGTGCACATTTATGCAATGAGACAAGATTTAATAGTGTTAAGATAAACAAGGGAACAAAATATCTAAGCAGCATGGCCACTCCAGGAATTCCTAATGTGAACTCAAATACCAATTCCGAATTTGATGACTACACAGAATTACTAAATAGAAAGGTGTTAAGATATTTTGTGTTAATGGGTAAATTTTGTTCGAGTGAAGGGGTAAAAAACCATTTTTGTAGGTAAAACTACTCCAAAGATCCCAAGTCTGAGCTTGATTAGTTTTCCTACAGGTTACTTGGAGTACATAGATTACATAGATTAACAAAATTGTACTCACCTTGTAGCTGAAGAGATCTATACACACAATGTTATTGGCAATTCACTCAGAATAAGGTTCTTTGGGCTTTAATCTGGTTCAAAATAGCTTGCTTTTTCCAGAAAATCTGTAGTTTTTTTGGGGGCGTATCACTGGCCTTCAAAGATGGCATTGCATCTCTACTGAGGTGGAGGAGGAATTAGTAGTACGCAGAAGAGGTGGGTGGAGGATGACCAGGCCAGGCAGTAATCAGATTATTCCTGTGACAACTGGTATTTTCCCAGTGTGAACTTGAATTCCAAGATAGATCTTTTTGTTTGTTAAATAAAGGGTCTGTGTCCATACTTGCATATTAATATTAGTGTATTCCTGCTCAACAGAAAATATACATATTTGCATGCATGATAATGGGGAAAAGGCCACAACCAAGTGGCTAAAATTAATGCAAAGGATTGGAGATTGTTGACATTGATGTCAGTTCACCAAATGGAAATGAATGTTGTGGCCATCTCACCACGAGTTGTGTGGTGTTAACTGGGAATCACTATGGGCTGAGAAAACTCAGTGCAAAACAGGTGATTTTAAAAAATAATTGTAGACAAGCTCGACATTCACATGGACAGCCAAAATGTGGGAAATGACTGTTTCCTATTTGCCACTTTAATGTCACTGGCATGTCTACCTTCTTCCTTCACACTTGTCTGACTCTATCCTATCTTTCTCCCAACTTGGCAAACTTTGAAAGAGGAGCTTGTCTCTTTGCCAAATGTATAGTCAAAGTGGAAGAGTCAGGTCTATGGCACAACAGTGAGCATGAGATGCAAAGAAATCTTACATTGTGCTAGACTTTGGATTCACTGAGTCCATATTGCTCAATATTATCATTAACTATGAACAGAAACGGCTCTCCAGGGTTTCACGTGGAATTTTTTTCTAGCCCTACCTGGAGATTCTTGGTGTTCCCGGATTCTCTCGAATCCAACCCTAATTAGCTTCCAAAATCAGAAAAAAAAATCTGGTGTGTTCAGGATGACGTCTTGGAAAAGGAAGCATATTTTCATGCTTCCCCACTATACAGACTGAATAGAGCTAGAATTCTCTTTTATTTAGACAAAAGAAAAGCATGTAATATTTCCCATTGTACAGCAGCCATCTTCTATAGAGTAAAAAAAAAAAACCCACATGTTCACCTTGGTTTGTGAAGTATGCTTTTAGATATTGTTGTGTGGGAAATGTCCTTGAGATGTGGAATTAGCAAGGTATGTGTGGTAAAATGTTTAGTTATAGTTTGGTATAATTACTCAATTACCATGATGTGATCAGCCAATAAAACACAACCAGAAGCCATATCTGGAGTGTTAAAAAGGCTGGTGCATGCACCAACCCAGTTTAAGAGATATTTTTTGTAAAGAGCAGCTTGCAGAACAAAGGAAAGCAGCATTAATAATTCACAAAAACAAAATGGAGGCTTTTCAGCAGTTGTTCACAAAGATGCAATGATTGATTTCTCATAATAAAAGGTCCAAGCATGCAAGAAAATAGAAAATTCCCAAACTGTGTGAATTCCATATTTCAGTTTCTGAAAACTGGTGGAGCCCAAGTATCTAAATGCATTTTATAATGACAGGATATATCTGTACATTAAAGACGCAGACTAAAATCTCATTGTTGGCTCCAATTAGAATAGACACACTGAATCAGTTGCTGAATATATGTGCAAATCGTACTGCCAACAGGTCTATTCTAGCTGAGAATAGTTATTGGATTTAGGCCACAAGATTCATATGTTAAATTGAAGTGTGCAATGGGCCCCATGGCACTGAAGGCATAAAACAAATGTATATTAAATGTCCATTCACTTTCAGAAAGTTTGCAAATGGCACAGTACTATCCACATTTCAAAGCAGCAACACACACCAGGAGCCATATAAAAGTATGCACATAACCCCTTTATTTCATAGTCAACAATGTCATTTTTAAAGGGTAAAATCAATAAATAATGTTCAATCAATGACTGTAAAAACCCTCTCTTTGGCATTGGACTGTACTTGTCTAGTCACACTAAAGATTATGTAGAACAGTTTTTAATGAAGTCTTTCCTTACTGCAATATAGGTCTGACTTTTTGTAAAAAGTACAAGCATTCTCTCAAAGTTAAACAAAACCTATCCACAGATTCTGCGCTGCAAGTTGGTCATAACTGTGAGAAAAGGGTATCAGAGGAGAAGAATCTAAGCTTCCAAAGCATGTGCTCTTTGCCTTTTCCTTCCGTCTTAAGAGACAACTAGTCCAGTCTTCCCATTTAGGAAAGTCAGAACTATGCCACGGGGATTTAATTAAAAATGGTTTTGTTTCACAAACAATTTAAACTCCCTTTATTCTAGCCCCCAAATTTAAGCTTTCACTTCTAAATAACTTACAGACCAAAAACATAACATGGTTGCACAAAGCTTCAGTAATACGTGGCACATCTTAAACAGATTAAACAAAAACATTACAGATTATTTTAAAATGCTATTGACAGACTAAGTTAAATTAGAATTAGTTCAGAGATTATTTTTTGAAACAAACATTTCAAGCTAGTGCATTTGACATAATTCACGATCTAGCAGAAACCTTCAAGTTTTTTTCCCTTTAAACAAAGTCCAAATGAAATGGTTTTTTTGTATGTTTTGTTTTAGCAACAATTAGTGCTGTAAATCAACTGGAATGTTCAGATGAAGTGCGCAAATGTAGTCTAATTAGACCTTCTGTCAAAACTAACTAACATGGCAGCACTAAAAACTAAAAATTAATTTTGATACTGTAAATGCAATTGCAGCTATTCTCTATGTATATACACCTAACATAAAGATTGATATGTAGGTATTAAGACAATCTTTATTTTTTTAAAGGTATGAATTTGAAATCAGTTAATGTCTACCTTCCAATAGTTTTCATTTTTCTCCTTTGAAACACATTTTATTTTTTTTAAAGTTACACTGAAATCAATTTAAATTATAAAAAAGCAACTCAATTATGCCCCCCCCCCTCCAAAAAAAAAGTTGGCTCCGGCAACTTGAAAGTACCCAGGCTTAGTTTCATTCCAATTTCCAGTGCAAAACCAGTTACAAGAAACGTAAACTGGGTTATTTTAAAGAACACACTATCTTAGTCAAATTTTTTCCTATAATGCAAAAGTCATTGCATAAACACATTTTCAACAATAATAGTGTATTTCAGTGCTTCTCCATGAGTAGTTTTGTACAGCAAGCCCAGTCAGAAACATAGATCACAGGATACCAATTTCTGAGTGTTAAATTGCCATAAATACTACATATATTCATGTGCAAAACCTTCTGTTTTTCTTATAGTGTCCTAAAGATATTTGCAATCAGACTTTTCCAGTAGTTCAATTCATATTAATGTCTCCTCTGGCATCTTCGTAAGATATTCTCTAAATTAGGGTCTGGTAAGATTCGACTGATACAACCAACTGCCTGTCCAAATTGTAAAGTGGATTTGTTGCAACGAAGAACCAAGGAGCATTCATCTTCATGTGTTGTTCCTAGCAAACATACGGTCCCCTCTCAGGGTGAGGTGTTGGAGCTGATACTGAAGCACTTCTGTGTCAGCTGGTTCCTTGATGTTCATTCTGTCTAAATTGAGGTAGTCTAGTGATTTAGAGTGAGCCCTTTTACCTTTGAAAAGGCAAAGAGGCAAAGGACCGTGAAAAGCCTTGTAGGGTTCATAAGGTAGTGGCTTGGTGCATTTATCTCCTGAGCTGGGCATCCGTCGCCTTCTTCGGCCATTGATTGCCGGAATCTCATAAGGCTGGTAATATCGGCTTCTGGCTTTACACACCCGGGAGGAACGGGAAAGTCCCGAATCAAGCTGTTTAGAGCGCAAGGTTGGTACCACAGCTTCCACTTTACTCTCCTCACTTGCAGTGCATTTTTGAGCTAATTTCAGAAGCTCTTCCCCAGTTGTGAAGCCAACCAAGTAGTTAGAATCCATGTGAAGGATCTGATAGCCAGAAACAGTCTGGCGCATTGGTGAACATGGAGTGCTGGAGCAGCGGGGTTTCTCGGCATCTGCCTTGCCTGTGGCACTCACCTCTGCAATAGGCAAGGGTAGAGTAGCTAAGATAGACCTGGATTCTCCATTAATGTCAACTTCCATTTTAAATATGAGTCCACTGGCCTGGAAATATTTAAAGAAAGCGTTATTAGAATGAGGGCATAGGCAAAGAGATATAGAACATTTTCTCACAGGCTGCCACTTCTCTATTCAACCCAAGTATCTACACCAGGCCTGCACAACATACATTCCCTTCACTGATCGGCCATTCCTATGCTGCCTTTCTGGTCAGGGAGGGGGGCAAGAACAGGAGGAGTGACCCACAAAAATTATTTTTTAAATATTGGCCCTTTACAACAGCCTGATGTACACCTTTAGGCCCTTTGTGGCAGAAGCCTCCATAACCTGATCCATGGCTTGCTCTGTTCCAAATCCCTACCTGTAAACTAGAAATAAGTGTCTGTTACCTGCATTTGTAAAGGAAACATAATAACCATTTTAAAGTACTATTTATTTTGTAAATTATTCAGTAACTACTGAGTGAACTAATCTCCAGATCCAGCCTGGTATACAACAAATTGTTCTATTTGCACCATCCTTAAATGAAATCAGGGATTGGTCAGAAGATAATAACTTTTTAAATTTCCGCATGCTTCCATCTACAGACATAAAGGCCCAGAAAAAACAGACCTACCCCTCACATTTTTTTTGTCAACTGCATTACGAAATATTTTCTTTTTGAATGATGAATACAATGTTTGCAACAAGGTGTTCATAGGATTTATTCTCCCAAAATGATTTCTGTAAGCTGTGGAACCACACACTATGCACATTGTCAGCTCATTCCAATTTCTTGTGCTCATTTCTTTTTCTTAGTTTCTTTTATGAGCATATGTGTTTTATATCTGCTTGACACTATGGAGAACAAGATCAAACAAAACATTACTTCTATTTTATTAATGGTGATGGGTTCTTTTGTTTGTTTGGGTTTTTTTTTTGCCTGTTCCCAATAAATTGGCAAAGCCAGAAAAATTCTTACAATGTAACCAAAAGGTGAAGTTTTTTAAAACTGAAATCCCTCTGTAATTATTCTCTGAATAGATTGCATTTTTATTATACTAAACATGTTAATTTTATAACAAGCCAGTTGTACATAATTATAGATTCCTAAAGCAAAGGCAGAGTGGCTTTCAATCTATATTTGGTGGTAATATTGCTTTTTCTTCAACTTTTCCTCAAATTTCCAACTTTTGAGGAGAATTTTGTTAATTTTTTCAAAATTGCTGGAAATTTTACACCTCTGATTCCATTCATAAGATGCCAACCTGGTGGATTTAGGGGGAAATGTCTGGTTAGCTTTAACTTCATTTTCTTTGAAAACAGGATAGCTAAAGGTTTATTTAAAGAGAGAAAACATGTAGCCAGTTTTATAGAAGGTCCTTGAATTTCAAGAGCTAACACAGTACAGTGATTTGAACAACTCTGGAGATCAGGGTTTGAATTTCCAATCAGCAGTGGAAAAGCAATTAGCTAACCCTGGTTGGACAAGTCACACTCTTTCAGACTCAAGGTAAGGCAACATCAAACCTACTCAGAAGAAATCTGAGTGCCAAGAAGACACCATGATATGTTCGCCTTAGGGTTGCTGTAAACTGAAAAAAGTTTGAGGGCACAGAACTAGTTGAACTTCTTTCTTCATTGGCTCAAAGGAAACAACTTCCTCCACTACCAGTTTAAGCTACAATTTAACAGACATCCTCAGATTCTACAAGAACGCCCTTAAGTAAATAATCAAATTAAAATCTAGTGAACTTATGACTTTGTGAGGAATTTATAGCTCACAGTTTCCACATCTTCACATGAAACACAGTATATGAGCTTTTCTGTGGGTAAAAGTTAGGATGTCCTCACAGACTCCTTTTGAAAAGAGATAAGGATGGTTATAGTAACCTATAGTTCAATATACCCAGACGACAGCTTGACAACAGGAGAGTGAAAAATCTTGATTCAATACATCTACTTCCTTTCAGACAAAAAAGGATCAGATTTTTAAAAATAAAAAACTACAAGAACATGACTAAATCTGTTTTTTAAAAATCGGTTTCACTCTATGTGCGTATAATAAACCCTGGAAAAGAACATTTGATCTTTTAAAGATCTGAATTTATGATTTTTCCCTTCAGCTCTACTCACAAAAATAAAGATTAGGATATTCAGAATACCCAACATTTTATTCTGTGACCCATGGCAGCCTTATCACAAGCTTTTCTTGGCAAGAGTAGTTGAAAGAGTTGCCACTGCTTCCCTCTGAGGCTGAGGCATTAATGTCCCCAAGGTCAAGCAGTGGGTTTCCAAAATCCTGGTCCAACACTGCAATCACTGCACCATAATTACAGATTATTCCTTATTCAGAAATCCAAAATGCTCCAAAACCCAAGAATGTCTACATGAGTAACTGAGATAGTGACACCTTTGATTGGACATTTTTGGGTTTTGGAGCATTTTGGATCTAATGGTTCAATGTACACAAATTTTGTTTCGTGCACAAACTTACTAAAAACATTTTGTATAGAACTACCTTTGGGCTATGTGTCTATAGGGAAATATTACAAAATCAAAAAATTCCAAAATTTTGCTCCACTCTCCTCAATGGTTCTATGCACTTCAGCTAAGGGATATTCTACCTGTACTTCTATTTTTAATGTTTAACAAAGTTGTTTTTTTCTGATTGGCTTTTACATTACTGGAATTGTCAACATTATGCAATTTTATTAAGATTTCCAGAAAATTATCAGCCTTTCCCCATTCATGCCACTCCACTTTACCTCTCTCCTCCAAAATGGCCCTTGCTACTGCCCCCTTGTAGTCTGTTCTGTCTACTTCTTCCCCTGGTCCTTGCCTTGCAGCAATGGAACTATTATTATCACTTGTTTGCCTTCTTTCCCAATAGCTTTCTGCAGCTGCTGCTCCTTGAAGCAGGAAGGCAAGCATACAGGCAGGTGTATGAAGCGAGGTAACTAGGGTAGTGCTATGAGGGAGGAAGACATGCTTCAGGAGCAAAACAAGGAAAAGAGAGAAGACAGTGGCAGAAGGGAAGGGCGGGGAAAAGTACAGGAAGGAAAACCACAGATATCTTTATGGAGCAGGGCAAGGTACAACACATTGCTCCTTGTTCTCTGCTGCTTTAAGTGGACTTTTAAAGGGCGGATCTGTGCAGGAAGGCTAGAAGGAAAAGGGCAAACATAGGAGGTGCTTTCTGAGTAAAATGACTAATATGATTTTGAGATATCAAGCAAGTGGATTTGTGGAGGACTAACTCCATGTTAAAAGAGCGTGGCATGGGCCTTTAAGCTGTTTATTCATACATATAACCTACTAAGTTGAACTGGGCTTACACTAAAGTTAACATACACAGGAAATGTATACCTTTTCCTTTATTACAAATACCACTTCTTATTAAAACCTAAGTATGCATTTGATTCCATGTTCAGTACTTTGAACATTACACTGCAGTACCATCTCTTCAATAGGTGGTTACTAGGGCTGGGCGGTTTCGTTTCGTTAATTCGTAATTCGTTAAAAATTCGTTATTTTTTTTATAACGAAGCGATAACGAACCATTCTGGAGCAACTTAAAAACGAAACGAATTTTTAAATTCGTTTCGTAAATGCTTCGGATTCGTTATGTATTCATTTCGTTATCGGTTTGAGGTCGTTTCGTTATTATTTCCGCATGTCTGGGGCAAGTTTCATAGTTGTTTTTTGTTTAATTAGTGAAAAAAAATTATAATATCACACCAACAGTCAACAACAGAGGGAGAGGGAAGCTTCAGAAGTTCCCCCTGTCCCATATGGAGATTTTTTAGCGTATTGCGCGGTCGCGTCCGCCATTAATGAATCGATTCGTTATTGTTCCATATTTGTTTCGTTAATGTTTCGTAATTTTTTTTAACATTTACGAAATTTCGTAAATATCAAACTTTTTAAAAGAAAAATTTCGGAATTCTTTTAAATATCGAAACGCAAAACCCCCCAAAAAAGAATCGATTTTAGAAACAAATTTTTCCGTTGTTACCCAGGCTTAGTGGTTACTATTACATGATAGTAACAAGGATTTTTTTAATTGAAGGATTTCTTCTGTTATTTTGCACAACATGGAAATTAGATGCCTGGATTTGGGCAAGTGGGGTGTGGTAAAACAGTACAGACAATACAGAGAATCATCACAAAAACAGTAAACCTTCTGATAAGTTACATTGTTCTTATTGTATTTGATATAGACTTAAATCTTATGTTACCAACTTCATTTTCTCTTTGTCTGAAAGGTGCTACAAGATCCTTTTGCATACTGAGCCAGACTAGCATGGCTGTGTCTTTGAAAGTGTGTTACTATTATACATGCAATCAAAAATGTTACTGAAAAAAATGACCTTTTGCAGATATTGTTCTTTATGGGGCTAGGGAAAATAAATCCTCTCCAGATTTTCTAAGACTCTACTACAGGGGTCCTCAAACTTTTTAAACAGAGGGCCACTTCACAGTCCCTCAAACTGTTGGAGGGCCGGATTATAATTTGAAAAAAGCATGAATGAATTCCTATGCACACTGCACATATCTTATTTGTAGTGCAAAAAACACTTTAATACAATACAATAGTTAAAATGAAGAACCATTTTAACAAATATAAACTTATTAGTATTTAAATGGTAAGTGTGGGCCTGCTTTCGGCTGATGAGATAAGGTTGTTGTTGTTGTTGTTGTGTGCTTTCAAGTTTTTTCAGACTTAGGTTGACCCTGAGTGAGGACCAGGTCAATGACCTTGAAGGGCCGCATTTGGCCCTCGGGCCTTAGTTTGAGGACCCCTGCTCTACTATCTCCTAATTTAACTGGTTTTAAGTTATAAATCCCTTTGAGTCTCCCAATATTAAAATGACTTCATTCCTTTCCCTATAATTTCACATTATATCTTAGAATTCTCTTTAATTAAAACCATCAGTGGCCCATATCTGGAAAACAAGGTATTAGCAGTAAATAATTTTGAGGGGCAGAATTAGGCAAGGTTTTCTTGTACACCACAATTACACAAAAAATTGCACTGAAAGTAATTGCTACTTTGCAAGTTA